TATAAATTATTAAACAATTTTTATATATATTTTGACATCTTTAGAAAGTATTTGTGCAGGTATAGTCATAACAAATTATAGATAAATTATTATAACTAAATATAATTAACGAAAAATGCACTATTTCATATAAATATATAAAACTCTGAAATAAAAATATTTAAAGGAAAAGTATGGTTCAGTATCTTAAAATTGATATTCCAATAAACTACAAGAAAAAAAAATAGTTCAAATATCGGCTGTCCAAAAAGTTTAGTTATCGAGTAATTTGAAAAAGATGTTTTTTTTAATATGCATGATCGAATAGCTATAAATTAAAGATACTTATAATTGCATTTACATTTTAAAACAATGGATTTTATTATTACTGTCGTATTAAAAAAACTTATAATTTATTAGAAAAATGTTCTTTATAACATTACAGACAACATTTAAAACAAAGATAACAATCGCATTTATTAAGGACAAATATGTTGGTTTAGAGTTAAATTCTTTTTTTAATAATTCGCGAAATATTCTCGCAATACAATCGAGAATTAGTTGAAAATAAAGAAAAAAATAAAAATTTTTTATTTACAGAAAATGTACACTCTGTACACATCTTGGATCATTTGTGACCCAGAGATGAACTTCGAAGTTATGCCAGTTAAAGGATACGCATGAATTGAGGCAGATAACGCACAAAACTTGTTCTTTAGATGCCAAATTTTTTTTTAAAGTAGAAAAAAGATTTGAAATTTGGTAAATGTAACAAAAAATCTGGATTGTTTATTTTCCAGAATTCCAGTTAATTTAATTCAACATTTTTCTCCGTATACATTTTATTTTGCTAATTTTATTTATGTATAGCTATATGCACTACAACATATATGTCTAATAAAATCTTTACGATGTCTCCTATATGTCTTTTCGACATGCACGTTATCTAATTGTAAATAGTGTTAATGTAGGATTTGTTATAAGATGAAATTCTATAATTTGCTATGAAAAAGGAGATTTTTAATATAAAATCAATTCATGATCCGATAGACAATCTTAAAGTTTTATATTATAAAAAAAAATATAAATATCAAATTTTATATTTAAGCTCTCGCCTCCAAATCTGATTTTGAGTGACGTCAAAATTTCATCAGATTAATAAGGTAATAATAGTATAACTTTTCGAGATATCACCTTTATAGGCGAGTTTAGTTAACCGACCAATCAACATTGAAGTGGCTGAAAATTTAATTCGATTCCTCATATTATTTTGCAGAAAAAACATACTTCATTTTTTTTTATGTGGTTGTTGATGGAGACGTTACTAAGCAGATACGCTCCAGCGTAGGAGTTTGAAGGTAAATCGCTCACCTCTAGGACGATTTTACATATATGATAAAACCATAATGATCAATTAGATGTTTAAAACGACATTCGAACATTGAACGCGATTTTAATTACATTCAGCAACAATGACTCGGGAATTTCGTTCTCCAATTTCGCTTCAAACATCTGATCAATTCTTTACGATTGGCTTTAACACGTATCGAACGCGTTGTATCGACGCGCAGGACTGCATTGAAAGATAATTTCGGCGAATCTTTAATAAAAAAAAATAAAATAAAATAAATTTTTAAGGAAAATATTCTCGAATGGAAGAGATTACAAGGAAACCTCGAATACTTACAGGACGCGTTTCACTTAACGTTCGCAACGTTTGCGAGCATCATTTCATCCTTATCGTTTTCAAATATTAAACAAGGATGAAATGATGACGCGGCGAACGTTAGTGGAATGCACCTACGTCACCGCTTGACATTAAAAGTTGCACGTATTATTATTACGCAACAAACGCTAACATAGACACACAATTCCACATTAAAATTAGCTTGCTACAAATCATAATTTTATCAATTTTAGTCATAATTTTATCAATTAATCACAGTGTTGGATAGCAGTGGTAAATTAAGTCTTTCTCAGCGAGATGCTATGGCAATAAATCATGGCGGTACATTCTCGCTTGCACAATGATTTATATAATAAAAGACACAAGATAAAGGAAATTTCTTCTCCAGCGAATCCATTTCTCTGTGTAAAAGAATAAAATTTCACATCATGATACCCGTTAAGCATATATAATAAATCAACAATGGTATCTCTTGATATCTTTAAAAAGAATTTTTAATTATAACAATTCGATGTCAATGTCTATCTACCTTACATAGCCCGTATAAATTATGCATAATAGATAATAAATGCTATGGATAAAATAGAATAATATATTCTATTCTATTGTATGATAGAAAAGTAATAAATATAAATATGAAGGCTATAGGAGTCAATGCTTTTAAACATGCATAATAATTTTAATAATAAATTAATACAAAAAAATTAGATTAAAAAATTGGAACGTTTTAGCTCAACTTTGAGCCATCTTCAGCCTATAAACATAATCACTTTAAACAAGACGTTAATTTTAAATATTGTATCGCAAATCAATAACTTCAAATTTTCAAATCTCCAAAAAAATAGAATCTAAAATTTAAGTAAAAAAACATATTTTTTTAAACCTGAAGAAGATCTCAAGAAATCATAGTTATTTCATTGAGACTGCATAAATTTTAATATTATCTAAGATCAAATTTAAGTATAAGATCGGATTGTTCATAATTCAATAGATTAATATAAAGTTTTATTTGAATTTAATTAATATAAAATCTTATTTAAGATTAAGATTGTCCAATAATAAAATGATAAAATTCTACGTTATAGCACAAGAAGCGGATATTTATTAAAATTTATTTAGACACGTATCTTTGACATTTTTGGAGTCTTTAATATTTGTGAGGCTGAGATTTCAGGTTACATCGATTACATCTATCAAAATTTAATACTCTTCTTTAAGTCGATAGATCTGATAAATGAATATTTGCTGTGTACACAGAATACATGTGTGCCTATTATTTACGTGTTTTCATTAACGAATGACATCTAGATAAGAATGCCCCTTCTTGGCAAGAATTTTTTCGTAAATAGTGATCGTTATAAACCGAATTACAGTTCGTATACAGCATATTGAATTACGCTCGTCGAGTGTAAAACAAGCATTCTGTTTATATCAATGCATTGGTACTTCATAAATTTATTCCTAGTCAACTCTTGGCTCGAAACCGACAATAATTACGGAATTATTAGTGCGGTCGTTCTTATTTGAAAAAACGTGCAATGGAGAAGTGCGAAAATCTGAAGGAGCCAGTGAAGGAGTCAGGGAAGTTGCGGCAATTCCTTGCCACGATAATCAGTAAGTTGGAAAGAAGAAAGAACCTCTTTTCTCGATTCTTTCTCAAGGAGCAGAAGAGATATATGACGCATACGATGACTTCAATCGAAGGAGAGAAACTTCCTTAAGTACTAGTTCTCCAAATAGTAGTTCTCCATTGATGGATATAGCAGCACTTAAAAATAGAGAAGAATTGTAAACAGAACATATGAAAATAAAAAAGATCGATATTTTTAAGCAATTGATATTTAGTGATGCAAGTGTGATTATTCTAAGAAATTATTCTAAATTACTCTAAAAATTAAATTATTCTTATCTCGGCATTATATCAATGATACTTAAAATGATATTTAATACAGATTATAATGTATTAAAGAATACAATATGTTTATTACAATTAGTTTCTATTAAATCGTCAAAAGTCTTATTTATTCCATCGCAAGTCATATTTATATAGTGATATATATTTGCAGTAAATCAGTTGGCGTTGTCTTACGGAATCGTGATAGGATGGCCATCACCGTCAGCGCAACTGTTGCAAAGTCCTTCATCGCCCGTGGGAAACCCTATGACTGATAACGGCGTATCCTGGTTGACTGGCATTTTGTGTCTAAGTGGTACTTTCGTGGCTGTGCTAACATCGATGATACCAGACAAGTTTAGTCGGAAGAGATTGGGCTACATATTAGTGGTGCCAATAATTATCGCTTGGTTGTTGATCATGTTTGCTACCGAGCACATGTATATCTATGTGTCGAGGGGTCTGAGTGGCATCAGTGGCGCTGCTACATTCTTCGTCGTACCAAATTACGTGTCGGAAATTTCGTGCGACAGTATCCGTGGCATGTTGGCAAGTATCTTGATACTTTCCGTGAATACCGGGATACTAGTGGCTTACATCCTGGGTGGCATAATGTCCTTCCGTGCCTTGCCCGTAGCTGTTATAGCGTTAATTCTTTTGTATCTTATCACTTTCGTCTTCATGCCGGAGTCGCCGTTATATCTGGTGCGTCGAAATCGTACACACGAAGCGATTAGGTAAAAAAAAATGAAATAAACAATATTCTCCTTAAAAGCAAAAATACGTTGCAATTTGTTGTTTTAGAGCCTTGAAGTGGTTGAAAGCTGGAAACAATCTGGAAGCAGAACGTACGTTGTCGCATATACAATTGCAAATCAAGGAGACCGCATCCATAAAGTCTACCAAGTTTTCAGATTTGGTTAGAGACAAAGCAACGATTAAAGGACTCATAATTATTGTGGGTCTGTTCATCGGTCAACAACTTTGTGGCATTTTTGCGATGGTAATTATCAATGATACATAGCTTATGGATTCAGGCATTTAATGCAACATTATTAATGCTTACAAATCCTTCAAATTTGCTTTCTTTCTAAAATGTACCTGGCCCGGGAACTTTTTCTTATAAAAAAAAAATAATAAAATTTTAATCATTATCAGATGTTAGTACAAGATTTCATTAATCACATCTTACTGATATCCGATTAAAATTTTATTAGGCTTTTTTTATAAATTAAAATACAAAATGTCACCGGAAACTTTTCCACTGTATAAGTTGAATAGTACGTTCATTGATAAAATTTCTACGATTTCAATTTATTTCATTTTATTTCAAATGTTTTATTTTTACAAAATGACAAACTGAATTTTCGACTTTTTCTAGATCAGTAACACGGAAATGATTTTTAAAATGTCCGACAGTTCGTTATCACCGAATATATCATCTATCATTGTAGCGATTATACAGGTCTTTGGATCGTGGTTAGCGACATTATTAGTGGAACGCGCTGGCAGACGGCCCTTGATTCTTCTATCCTGTGCAGGAATGACCGTGTGTCATTGTATGATAGGTGCATTTTATTATCTTCAAAACTTGCAATATGAAGTGTCCGCTTATTCTTGGATACCGGTGGTAGCATTATCTGCCTACATGATATTATTTTCTTTGGGAATGGGAAACGGACCTGTCGTGGTGATGTCTGAGATATTCAGCCGTGACGTAACCAGCCTGGCCTCGGCCATAGGTATCTCTGTAAGTTGGATATCTGCATTCATCATGACGAAAAGCTTCACGGATTTCATTACTTTGTTAGGCTTGCATGGTTGCTTCTTTCTCCTTGCTACTTTCTGCGTATGCAATTTTTTGTTTTGCTTCATATTACTACCAGAGACCAAAGGACAGTTACGCGAAGATATTGTAGATGAACTTAATGGCGTGCGATGTACAAATAAGAACGATATTAAACATATCATTGGATCAGATTCAGTTCACGCGGCGCATGTGTGAAAATGTTATCTACGTTCAAGGGATCTGAAAACTAATAATAAATAGTGAAGAAATTTATAAAATGTCTCCATAATTTAATGTTGTACATAATTGTGTACAAAAGTTTACATGTCAGTGTCTCAAAATTTTTCCTTTACTAATAATGTGTAGTACTTGTAATAATTTTAGTTGTTTAATCCTTACATTCCATTTCATATTTCCAAATTTATTCATTACTTAAAATTTGGAATATTTGCTCAAGTATTTTATATGTGTTTATTATAAAAGTTATCTAGCTTATTCTTTGTACGACTCTTGAACATGTAATATACATGAGCAAATATTCCAAATTTTACGTAATGAATAAACGACCTCCGGTCAAAGCCAGACTGATTATACTTTATTAATATGACATGTATTGCGAAAAATAATTGAGTAAATATGTAAGTCGCTTCGTACAATTAAAGGGAGTCTCGCGTTATTTACTTTTAATCGATTCACTGCTTCTTTCGACATTTTATTTTTTAGTAACATAAAATTTATCGTATTAAGTTTGCATTGTATATAACATAATCTCATAATATCTCATATATTATCTTGCAAGTGTGTTTTATAAAAATGAAAAATATTGATACATGTGGAAAATATTGATACATGTGAAAAATATTGATACATGATACACATATATGGCACGCAGATGTAGCAGAACTGACATTAATGAAGATATTACAATAATAAGATTAAAAAAATGAAGATATAAGAAAAATTGTATATGAATGTTGATTGACTGGTTTTAATAGAATAGAACTATTTAAAATTAAGTTATTAAAAATAAACAGATATTAAATAAAAAATATGTACGTACATAATTCTACAATTACTTATTTTAAGTGATGCTGAAAATGTATTTATTGTGTACATTAAATAGTATTAATAAAATTTATTTAATTAATATTAATTATGATAGGATCAAAATTTTTATGTAAAATAGAATAAAACTTTTTATTTACAATTAAAATTATATGAATATGTGTATGCACAAATATACATTTATACTTAAGTAGATTACAAAATATGCATTTCTCATTTACATCTGTAATAAAATATGTATAAATAAAGATTCTAAAATTATATATAAACTGCAAACTAATGCCTTATAAATATTACTAATTTAATTACTAAATTAATTTGATAATATTTAATTTTCTATGCGTATTTAAAAAATACGTTAGACATAAACTAAAAGACAAAAGATTATATCACTTTCCACAAATAAATATTATCAATCATCAATCGTTCTTTTGCGCACGTTCTTGTTACCAATTTTTCTTTTTTTAAAAGTAGTGGCTGTTTCTTCATCATCACTGTTACCTGTATTAATTTGTATAACAGTTTTTTCTTTAAAAGTTCTTTGTAATGGCGGTGGCTCTATCTTTGTAAATATGGGCAGCTGTATTTGTTTCTGTTGTTTTGGCAATTGAAGATCCAATGGTTTCTTCTTGCTAAAATTAAACGTTTTTGCATTTATCTTAAGACTATGTAAAAAATAATATAGAAAATTAATTAATCTTTAAGTAATTTGATTCTACTATAATACAATAAAACAGTATATTTATGTATAATAAAGTTATGCATACATGTATACATATAATAATATTTTACTACTAAATAATTATACATTAATCAGCCAATTGATGTAGCTCAATTTCTAGCAGTTTTCATTCACAATCCGTGAAAACTTACGCATCTTTACTCAAGAATTAATAATAAAACTTGTTGCCGCGACAAATTTTCGTGAAAAATATTTTAACCCATTTTGGTAATCAAAATAATATAGTGGAATAAGTGGAATAAGTATAAAATATTTACGTTGTCTCCACGATTTGCCAGGATCCGTAAGGTTGCGGTCTCTCAGGTACACTGTAGTCTCGCCAGTAAGGTCGTTCTTCTTCAATCGCCTTCTTTATTTCCATGCTTTCTTCAGCCTTTTGGACATCATCGTTTTCAACTGATCGTTTCCTGAACTCTTTCATCTTCTCTCTCTCGACGTTGGCCCGTTGCTCCTCAAGAATATCTGCCTTCTTATCCGCTTCCTCCTTATCCAATTGTTCCATGAGCTCTCTCTGGATCACCTCTTCTGTCGCCTCTTCTTCTTGCTCCATGAAAGTCATGTAGCCTTCTTCCGGAGGCTCCCAAACCGATTCTAATGTACATCAAATATTTATGGAATGTTCGATAACAGGTACCTCGCATGAGATTTATTTACGATTCATAATATACTTAATCTTAATCAAAGTAAAGCTTATTAAACTTATAAATTCAATATCATGTTAATAAAAAGAATAAAAGGAGCAAGCCTAAGCTGCGTTCGGGGAACGCGCTATCAGCATTATTTTGTCATATTCTTGTTTGCTTGTTTCACGTCTAATAGACGAAGATAGAATGAAGATAGAATGACACAAATAACACTAATAGCGTCTCTCCCATAATCATAATTTCATCAACAAAAATTTAAAAATCTTACATTTTAAATGCTATTTGAGAGACATAGTTTTTGACGAAGACAACATATAGTAATGTAATGTAAAATATATAGTTATGTAAATTATAAATAATAAATTAAAAAAACATAAAAATGTGAAAATTATATTATTTCAAATAAGAAACAAATATAAGAATTGCTGTTACCACATCTGCAAGAAAAATGAAATGTTAACATATTATAGTTACTGTCTGACGAAAAAAGATATCCAAAAGGCAGACGTGCAAAAAAATAAAAAAAATCGACGAAGGTACACCCACCGTTCGTTTCAATGTGCCAATAGTAAGTGTATCCTTCGGGACTGCGAGCCTCATACCACAGTTTTCTGACGGGTGCGGTCGGATGATCATCCTCCTGAGTCTTTTTCCCCTTTCCCTTCAGCTTCCCCGATTTACTCTTCCCCAGAGTCCTGTTCTCGCCGCTGTGCTGCTGCTGGACTCGTGGAAACGACGGCGCGCCTTTTGATAAAGTTGCCGGGTCACAAGGATCCATTTTTGGCAAGAACTGGAAAAGTTTCAGTTGAAAAGTTCACTTCGCATTGATGAATCATGTTCTAATTTTTTTATAGAAAATAATAGACGTATGCATAATCAAAGGTGCAGCAAGTAATCCGACTTTTACTCCAGATCTTATAAATAAACAAGTGAATACTTGTTTTGTTTAATGATGTCATATTTTAATTATGTTTCGATCATTAAATAATTAAAAAGATCAATTTGAATTTATGCACCTGTTCACTATTGTTTTTGAATCTTGGAACCGTTTCTAAAGCGGCTGACGGTACACGGTTGCAATTTTGAGACATCTAGAAATACATATATTACATCACACTAAACACTGAATTAAAAATATGTACAATAGAGGAATGATATTTTTTTTCTACGGGAAAAAGGAATAATTATATATTTTTTCTAAATTTTGATATTTTAACGTAGAAAACAAAAATTATTCCTTTTTAAAAGTATTACATCTAATATTATTATTTTTCTTAACAATAATTTCTAAAATTAAGAGATTAATTTTAAGTAAGTATAACTTACTTCTTTTGTTTCTATCCTATCCAGTTTCTCTTTAATGATTCTCTGAGCAGTCATATCTCGCGTGTTATTCTCAACATCCTTCAAGTACGCAGCCATAGCCGCCTAGTCCAAAAAAAGAATGATTATTTATCATCAGTATTTTCATGTCTTAATCAACATCTATATATAATCATACATTTTCCATTTTCTTGAGATCATCTTCGAATTTTTTATTCTGTTTTGCCTGTTTGGCGCTATTCTTGTGGATCTCCTTGAGCCGCTTACTGACATTTTCCTTGTGCTTCTTGCCGCCTTCATGGAAGTCGATACTCGGTTTATTATCGGCGATCCAGCACTTGCAGAAGTCACAGAACTTGCGTCCTTGGGACTTCCAATAATCCGCCCTGCAATCCGTTATCACAGCTAGAGTGACCCCATATAAATATCTACGACATTATACAGAATCGACGCATCGGCAAAATTTGTCAAGTTACAAGAATGAATTTAAATATATTATAAATATATGTATAGTATTCCCTCTCTAGTGCTAAATTTGTACAACAAACAATGTTCTTGAATTTCAGTTTCTTCTACGAAGTTCCAGATATCTAAAGTAAAGTGTCTTATTATATAATCTCGTTGTGTAAGATATGTATTTTTATAAATCCCAAACTAAAATGCACGCGAGTCAGAATAGTCGAAAAAGTTCTATTCTCGACGCTATCGATCGACAAAGTGAATAATTCATTCGATTGTGGTTTGGGCTGTCTTCCCGGAGCAATTATTGGAGAAAATGCGGACGATGTTGCCCGTGTGACCTAGGAGAAATGTTTTCTCCCTTTCGGGATGAGAACAAATTAGTTGGTAATTAGTCTCCGACCTACGCAGCCTTGAGCGTCATTCGACCTTCGCGTCCCAGTTGCGACTAAAGGAGTTGCGACGAAAGGAAATTCCTAGGAAGGGCTTAATGAAAGCTCGACATATTGCCAAGTATTGCGACAGATGGAAACTAAAGAAAAAACATGTGCATGCTTTGAGTTTTGCATCTCATCTTATCTTTTCGTGATTTAAATAGAACAGTGGAAATAAAATAAATAAGAACGAAGTGCAACAAATAATTTACATAATAAGGGAAAATGAATAAACGAGCAAATACGAGATTTTTAATAAAAATGAAGTAAGATAGAAGTATAATTAAATTACAAAATGTATACGAGAACAATGGTCGCAAGATATTTCGTACTCACAGAGTCAATTGCATAAAAATCGGAGTACAAATAGTGCGTTTAATTGATTTCAAATTACATATATGATTAGAAAATATTTTTCACATAGGTAATATTGAGATGCTTCTCTATGTATTTTCTCATAATAATGAATTCCGATCACACATATACATTCTCATAATAAAAGAAAACAATTCGTCGTTATATCAAGCGAAAATGTGCAGTTTTGTCAAA